AAGTTTCTGAAGACTACAGTCTCTTCTCTGAGTTTAAGCTGGACGTTAAGAAGGCTGAGCTGCTTTCATTTGTTTCTGTGGTGAATTGATGAATCTCTTGTTTAATTCTAACATTGCTGCACTTGAATTGTCTCTCGAACAGCTGATTGTTGTGAGAAGAGCATCAGTCTCTCAGCTGCTGCAGGAGGATCTGTGAACATCAGCTGCAAATACCCACAATCCCACAGTGCTGATGTGAAGTTTGTCTGCAGGAGATCTGGATCTGATCTCTGTGCTGAAGAGACGTCTGTGGAGGAGAGCAGAAGATGGAGCGCTGAGGGACAGATGCAGCTGTATGATGACAGAGAGCAGCATCTCCTGACGGGAACCATCAGTCATGTGACTCAACAACATTCAGCTGAATACTGGTGTGGAGTTCAGTCTGATCAAGGACACAAGAGCTTCATCACTCGAGTCCTCATCAGCGTTACAGGTGCGGATGATTTTCTCACTCATATTAATCAATGTGATTAAAAAGAAAAACTGGTGTGTCTGTGTGTCTTATATCATGTTGCTTAACTGTGTAAAGAAAGTGTTCATGCTGTTTTGAAGAGAACTGATTCTAGGTTTACCAGTTTACCAGCAGGTTAATTTTAGATGTTCTGTCTTTTTAACAGAGCAAAACCACAAACCACAGTTAAAAAGAGGAAGTTTCCTTATAAAGGTTCATGATTGCAGTCTGTGCAGGTTAAAGTGCAGTTTTCTGTTGATCAATGTTGCTGTTGAGAAACTGAACACAGAGTAAAGCAGAGGACAGTGTTTGTGTGTTTCATTCTTCATTCTTTAAATGTCCAGTTCTGCAGATCTGGACTCAAAGCTGCAGCATTAGTTGGTCATGTGGACACAGTGTTACTGTAGTTTTTAACTAGTTGAAGTGTGCTCATCTGAATGCAGTATTAGAGCAGTGTTTGTGCTGCTGAGAGTCACTGAACCAGTCTTGTTCTATAATTAAGAAGCTGCAGTTAAAGATGCTCGTCCAGTAACCTGCTATTATTCACTGAGAAACCACAGACTTCAGTTACAGAAACTCAAACAAACAGCTCGCAGTTTTAATTTCTGAGTGTCTCTGTATCAGCAAACATGAATTCTGGGTAGTGAGTGTGTGAATGACATCAGTAACACTTATATTTACCACGAGACACGTGATGCCAAGTTCTGTGTGTGAAAAAACATCCTTTAGAAATTCATTGTTTTGTTGCTTTATATACAGATGTTTCAGAAACAACTTCACCACAACCATCACCATCACCTTCATCATCACCATCATCATCTTCATCATCATCGTCATCATCATCATCTTCTTCTTCTTTCTCATCAGTCAGGACTCCACTGATCACAGGAGTTTCTAAATCGTCTCCATCTAGTTTTACACCAGCAGGTGCTGAAACACAAACATGTGATTTATGGTGTAACTTGTGAGCAGCTCTGACACCAGAGAGATATTACTAAATATAAAAAAAATATTAGATTTTCAACTATACAATAAATAGTTTAATTGAATAAATTTAAATCATTGATGTATAAAAAATAATAATAATAACAAGCATCCACTCATTCTTGTTTTGATATTAGATCTATTGAACTGATTTAGCATTCTGTAGTTTGCTGTCTGTGGTCTATCAAGACAACAGCTGCTGTTTGTGTGGCATAAATGGATACCTGACATTCAGTGGCTCACAGACTTTTCACGGGCTCAAGGATAAGGTTTATAACTCTTAACTAGCATTTCCATCCTGAAAAAACAAAATGTTGTGGTATATATATATATTTTTTTTTTCACAGGTCACAGTTTCTTTAAACAGAGCCTGTTTAGAGTGATTCTGTGCTCAAAAAGGCACATTCAGCTACACATGAGCATAACTGAGTATAAGACAAGAACATTATTTACACCGCTTGTGTGAATGTTCAACGTGAAACCTATAACCTGCAAGCCCAGTATCATGCTCTGGTCACTCCTGTCCCAAACATCAAGCTACGCCCATGATCGGATCAGATATTCAGCTCAGAGTGATCAGATTGATTGTTTCATCTCCTGTGTTTTCAGGCTCTTCTCTGATCGTCTCTCTGGTTCTGGTTCTTCTGGTTCTGATCATCGTTGGTCTCTTATTACTGTTTCTCTGTAAGAAGCATCAGTCTCGAGGTAAAGCTCCTTCTTAATGTCTTTAGATGCAGAAACTCCATTATACTGAGTTTAAAATGCAAAGATTTGTTGATCTGTAATCCCACTTTGAGTCTGTCGCCATCTACAGGCTGCAATGAGACATGAGCAAAATACAGATATTTGATGATGTGTGAAAGCATTTCCATTAGACACCAGTGTTGAAATGTGATATAATGTCATTAATTTAGACTCTTGTTTTGGCAGGCAGTGATTCGTCATCTCAGACTGGAGCAGGAAAGCCTGAAGCAGTCAGTCCAGTTACTGTATAAAATAAGATCTTGATTTTTATTCATAATGAGAATAAATTCTAATGCCTCCATCTTGAAGATATTCAGAGCTGTTAATAATTTATCTGTCTTTCTTCAGGTTTCTCACACTGGATGTGATTATGAGGAGATTAATGACTCTCACAGACAATTACCCACAAACCCCTCTGATTCACCTTGTTATTTTTGTGATGCTCTTCTGCTGTATATTTAAGACAGTCTTGTCAGTCAGACATGAAGGATGTTTAAATGACAGTGCAGTGTTTTGTTCTGCAAATGACACTCAAATAAATGATCAGAAACCCTTGAGTTTTTGGTCAACCTTTGATGTAAATAAGTACTGAATATTTCAGAACAAAAGAGTGAAATTAAAACAGAATATGCAGCGCTGCTCAGTTAGTTTGGTTAACGTCAAACTACACGCCTGGCCACCAGCGGTTCTTGTAAAAAAATGTATTAAGGCTCAGTGTTAAAAAGCTCACAAACTTTAACACATGCAGCAACTACTATTTTTTTCTCGGTGCTTATTTTAAAAGCTTGATAAAAGAAAATGTAATAAACCTAGATGAAGTCAGTGATATTGTATGCAAATATGATATGAATGGATTATGTAAATCTGAAATTATATAAATGCACAACTTCTCTCCTCTGACTGAGGTGAAGTGTAAGAGGGAGGGGAAGTTATTTTGATTAAAGATAACCAGAGCACATGAATAAAAATAAATAAAAATAAAGATGTGCTCATAAATAGTTTATCATAAATACTGTAATGTTCAAAAAAAAAAAAAACAAGAACTGGTTTTGATTTCACAGTTATTTTAATCAATCATCAATGTGCTTATTGTCACGCTCTTGTGAAGGGAGGCGCACAAAGACAAAGGCAATCCAAATAACATTTAATAGTAATCTAAGATTACGAAGATTCATACAAAACACAGGGTAAGAAAAGCAGCATACACAACTATAATAGCCAATGACCAAAGGAACTGAGGAGGGAACTTAAATACACAGACGTGAGAGGGATTAAATGACTTCATTAACAGGACACAGGTGAACAGAATAAACTAATCAAGAGAACTCAGGAAAACTAGGTCAAACTCAAAATGGGCATGAAGACAAAAACTAAATGAAAACACAAAAGAAGTCCATAACTGTAACTTTGTTACCATGGTAACCACTGCTGTTTGCGCGTGTGTCCACTAGGGCTGTGCAAATAATCAAATGCGATTTTCATGCACATCTTGTCAGTAAAGCTGGTTCTGTGATTAGTAGTAAATCTCCAGCACGTGCTTTCAGATGGAGCGGCATTTATTACACAGAGCCGTAGTTCACTGACAAGCTATGCAATATTGCGCTCAAAATCGCAGACGATTTATTGCCGATTAGGAACATCTCACTGTTCATTTCTAGTCTTTGAAATTCTAGTCTGAATAAAGATTGTAGATACATATTTTTGTAGAAATCTCTCAAATAATGCTTTGAACAAAAAATTGTATTTTCACATGTCCAGAAGTCTTGCATGTTCATGTGAACATGTATTATCATCACTTATCTTTTATTTTTATCTCTCTCTCTATCAGAGGAAGTGGGCGTCTCTCTGTCACTTTCAGCAGTTCATGTTAAACAGGAAATAAACACTCAGAACTCATCTGAACACACATCGAGAGTTTCAGAAGAACTGATCTAACAACAGAGAAGATCATTAAGAGAGAAGAATGAAGATCATCTGGACTTTCACTCTGCTGATGATTCCTGGTAAGAATCTGAACTCACAGTAAATCACTCAAAACAGCACAGAGTCTTTAACTTCAGTTTACTTTATATGAAAGTTCATCTGTTCATTCTCATATAAATATATCAGTGTTGTATTAAGAAGCTGGTTTGATGTAGGTGTTGTGAGCTCCATCAGTGTGGGAGGATATTCAGGAGGAGGAGTCATAATCACATGCAGATATGATAGAGAATATACAGTGAATGCAAAGTATTTTTGTAGAGGACAGTGGTCAGAGTGCACAGACCGAATCAGGACCAATATTAAAAACAAATGGGTTGATTCTGGAAGATTCTCTCTGTTTGACGACACAACAGCAGCAGTTCCTCTTCAGGAACTTGAGCTGCATCGGAGGACGCTAAGGGAACGCCCTTCAGCGTGACCGGCTCTGAACCTCGTGTGTAATCAGACCAATAGTTGGGCGAGACGTCACGGGCGGGTGACGTAAAGACCAGGAAGCTATAAAAGCACGTGCGGTGAGACCAGCATCAGCTTTCTGTCATTCAGCAAGCGCTCTGTGTGTGTGTCAGTTGTGAGCATTTTCTGCGTGTTAAGCCACCTCCGCGCCGGAGCCTGCCGTTTTTCCCCGACCTCCACACCGAGGTGTCGAAGTCGTGGGGAAGACTGTTCTCGGCCCGCCTCTTTATTCCCGCCTCCGATTATTATGGCAATGTGGGAGGATGAATGAGCGCGGTTATAAGACGATGCCCCGGGTAGAACAGACGCTGTCTCCCGGTGCTGCATCGTGCGAGGCGACGCTCTAGGTTCCCTGCCAGTTCGCCGTTACAGGGCACCGAGCTTGCTGCTCGCATTACACCAGAGATCAGTCTCGAGAGACTGATTCCCTTAGTAGAATTTTCGGCAGTGTGGAAACTACTGCCAAATGTGTCTCAGTGGGTCCTGCACACTGTAGAGAGGGGCTACAGAATCCAGTTTGGTTCTCCTCAGCCTCGTTTCAACGGGATTACGCCCACGCTGGTGGACCCCGAGCAGGCTCTGGTCATGGAACAAGAAGTAGTCACTCTTTTGAGGAAGGAGGCCATTGAGGTGGTCCCTCCTCATGCGAGGCAGTCCGGGTTCTACAGCTGGTACTTCATAGTTCCGAAGAAGGACGGAGGGTTGCATCCCATTTTAGATCTACGTCATTTGAACCGCTCAGTCATGCGACTGAAGTTCAGGATGCTTACTCTCAAGCAAGTCATGTCTCAGATCAGGTCCGAGGACGTGGGATTTGACCACGATGCAGGCACGTATGTCCCCTGCTCGGATAGCATCGATCCTCACTGCAGTCACGAGAGTCAAAGAAGGCCGGTCATTCACTGTCAAGCAGTTTCAGAGACTGCTGGGTCTGATGGCTTACATATTAATGGTGGAGTTCCCTTTAAAATCTTAAATGATTCCCTTTGAGCTAAATTGACCTGTTTCCCTTACACCTACGTGCCTTGGACATGTGGAGGAAACCTTGGTTCTTGTCTCAGGGCCCGGTGCTGGGAGCCACGTAACGCTAACGACGGAAGCGTCCCTCACCGGTTGGGGAGCGGTCATGAGTGGCCACCCTGCTCATAGCGTACCAGATCCTTGTGTGGTCCCAGGGTAAACTTCTCTCGCTGAGAGCAGTTTACATCCCTGGACATCTCAATTTGGGAGCAGACATCCTGTCGAGGCAGGGGCCGAGGCCCGGGGAATGGGTGCTTCACCCCAGGTTGGTGAAGCAGATATGGAGAGTTTTTGGCCAGGCCCAGGTGGACTTGTGTGCGACTCGCATGACATCGCACTGTCCCCTCTGGTTCTCTCTGAGTCATCCAGCTCGACTGGGGCTGGATGCCATGGTACAGAGACGTGGCCGTGTCTTCGTCTGTACGCCTTTCCCCCGATCGCTCTGCTCCCGGGAGTTCTGGAGATAGTTCGCCGGGACAGGGTCCGTCTTCTGCTAGTAGCCCCGTTCTGGCCGGGCCAAGTATGGTTCTCGGACCTGATTTCTCTCCTCGACGGCGCTCCATGGGAGATTCCCGTCAGGAGAGATCTCCTCTCACAGGCAGAGGGTGCGATCAGTGGCCCCGTCTTATCTTGACTTTGCGCCCGGTCTGGCCAAAGCGTTTCTGTTCCCTCGAGCGGGTTATGTTCCTAAGGTCCCCTCCTCTACACCACGGCCTGTCGTACTCCAGGCCTTCAGTCCTCCTCCCTTCGGGGATCCAGACCAGCAGAAGCTAAACTGTATGTGTCAAGTGCGAGCATTGGACGCATACGTCCACAGAGCTGCCTTGTGGAGAAGGGCGGACCAACTGCTCGTATGCTATGGTCCCCCTAAGAGAGGTCTTCCTGCTATGAAACAGACCCTCAGTCGGTGGATAACAGATGCTATTTCTATTTCTGATCTCCCTTCGCCTCTTGGGGTCAAGGCTCACTCTACAAGAAGTGTGGCGGCCTCTAAGGCCTTCTTGGCAGGTGTCTCAATGCAGTACATCTGCGACGCTGCAGGATGGTCCACGCACCTAACCTTCGTCAGGTTCTATGGCCTAGACATGCGAGCCACTCCTGGCTCCTCTGTTCTCGCGCCTTAGTGGTGCACGCTTCCACACTAGGCGAGATTTGAAAGTCTGGCGGCGTGGGCATTCTCGTTCCCTTAGCGTCCTCCGACGCAGCTCGAGTTCCTGAAGAGGAACGTCTCAGGTTACGTATGTAACCATGGTTCCTCGAGGGAACGAGACGCTGCGTCTCGGGGCCATACTTTCGGCATCTCTGCCAACACTTGCTTCATTCCTGGAAGCTGACGCTGGTCTCACCGCACGTGCTTTTATAGCTTCCTGGTCATTACGTCACCCGCCCGTGACGTCTCGCCCATCTATTGGTCTGATTACACACGAGGTTCAGAGCCGGTCATGCTGAAGGGCGTTCCCTTAGCGTTCTCCGACACAGCGTCTCGTTCCCTCGAGGAACCATGGTTACATAAGTAACCTGAGACGTTTTCACTGTGACCATCAGAGATATGAGTGAACAGGATTCTGACACGTACCATTGTGGAACTGATATTTATGCAAAAATAGATTCCTACTACACTGAAGTGAATGTGAACATTATAAGAAGTGAGTAACTGAGACTCTCAAACTCATGATGATCATCAACATCACTAATAAATATAATAAATAACTTCTACATAACTAAATAATATCTCCTCATGTAATATTGACACTCATAAGTGATCTTGACTTGCATTCATTAATGCTGCAGCAGATATTTTCAACATGTAAGTGACTGGATATGTGTTCATTGAATACAAGGCAATAGATTATCTGGGTTTGTGCTTAACAGATGAAAAAAATCAGTGCTGTGAGAGGATATTCTGGAGGAAACGTCATTATAAACTATAAATATGAGGTGAATCATGAGAACCATGAGAAATATTTCTGTAAAACTGGAGCAGATCGATGTTTTACTCTAATAAACACTGACAGAGCAGCAGAATGGAAACATGTCGGCCGATTCTCCGTTCATGATGACAGATCTGCACGTCTCTTACGTGTGTTTATCAGAGAGCTGAATGTGAATGATTCTGGAGAATATAAGATTATAGTCAAAGTTTCTGAAGACTACAGTCTCTTCTCTGAATTTAAGCTGGACGTTAAGAAAGCTGAGCTGCTTTCATTTGTTTCTGTGGTGAATTGATGAATCTCTTGTTTAATTCTAACATTGCTGCACTTGATTTGTCTCTCGAACAGCTGATTGTTGTGAGAAGAGCATCAGTCTCTCTGCTGCTGCAGGAGGATCTGTGAACATCAGCTGCAAATACCCACAATCCCACAGTGCTGATGTGAAGTTTGTCTGCAGGAGATCTGAATCTGATCTCTGTGCTGAAGAGACGTCTGTGAAGAAGAGCAGAAGATGGAGCGCTGAGGGACAGATGCAGCTGTATGATGACAGAGAGCAGCAGCTCCTGACGGGAACCATCAGTCATGTGACTCAACAGCATTCAGCTGAATACTGGTGTGGAGTTCAGTCTGATCAAGGACACAAGAGCTTAATCACACCAGTCCTCATCAGCGTTACAGGTGCGGATGATTTTCTCACTCATATTAATCACTCCATATTTCTGATGGACGACTTTAATGCTCATGTTGGGGACGACGGATAAACCTGGAGGGGGGTGATTGGAAGGAACGTCCTGCCTGATCTGAACCCGAGTTATTGGACTTCCAGGCTCAGCATGGTTTGGCCATAAAAAACACCATGTTTGAACATAAGGCGGTCCATAAGTATACTTGGTACAAGAACAAAGGTCTTTGATTGACTTCGTAGCCATATCATTGAACCTGCAGCCGTATGTTCTGAACACTCAGGTAAAGAGTGGAGCAGAGCTGTCAACTGATCACCACCTGGTGGGGAGTTGGATAAGATGTCGGGGGAGGCTTCTGTAAAGACCCGGGAAACTCAAACTAATTGAACTATCGGTAAGCCCCACCCACCTTAGTTACTGTTGCGAACTCGGACAAGCAAACAGAGTTGCTAACTGTCTTACACTGACAGCTGTCAGTGTGAAAACCTTGTCCCAAGATGTTTTTGATAAATTTCACAGAAGGACCACCATTCATATACAAAATATTTTAAAATATGGGATATATAAAAGATTTTAAAATATGGTGTGTAACTTAATTTGTAAGCGAGGGTTTAAAGATCACAATGCAAGTGGGAGAAGCCTTATTATGGTCACCATGATAGCAGATGACAACATCCAGGATCATGTGCCGCAGGGTAAGATTAAATTCATTGTCATCTAACCAGTTTAATATGGAGAGGCACTGAAATATGTAGACCTTCGTTTATGTGTTTTAACCTGCACTGTACATGACGTGAGAACAGTTAGCTACTTAGGTTTGTATGGACTCACTAACTTTAACGTTAGCTAGTTTTAGTCAGAGATGCCTTGCGGAAGCACAAGATGACATTAACGTTCTGCTTGAGCAGATGAAAATTGTAACTTAATGAAAGAATGACATCCAGAAAATGAACGTTTTCGTCTTCATTGGGATTGGGGTTGAATGCTTAGGGACATTTTGCTCCGTTTTGTTTGGGTTTAGGAAATGGAATGAAATAAATTATATTGCCCATCCTCTCAGGATACCTGGAATCAGTGTTACAAGGACCCCAGGCACATCGTTTTGCCATTTTTGTAGCATAAACACCATCAAACTGATGAAAGCTTCGAATCTTCTAATGTTTCTTTATGGCGCTGAAACCTAAAGATACTCAATTGCCATTGGCTCATCTGCGTTCGAGGGGAGGGCCTTACTGATAGGTCAACTGTGAGTGTTAACTGGGAACATCTGGCTGAGGATCCTGTCTGGAATATTTTCATCTCCCACCTCTGGAGAAGATTTGCCTTACTTCAGAGGAAGGCTGGGGACATGGACCCCGAGTGGGCCCTGTTCAAAGCCTCCATTGCGGAAGCGGCTACTGCAAGCTGTGGCTGGAAGTTTGTTGGTGCCTGTCATGGCAGTAACCCAAGAGCAGCAAGAGTGGATTGCCGACTCCGGTTAGGGAGTGAGTTGCTTCCCCAAGTAGAGGAGTTCAAGTACCTCAGCGTGTTGTTCACAAGTGAGGGTAGGTTTGAGCAGGAGATTGACAGGTGGATTGGTACAGCAGCAGCAGTAATGCGTCATTGTACTTGCCGTCGTGGTGAAGAGGGCGCTAAGCCTGAAGGCAAAGCTCTCAATTTACCAGTTGATTTATGTATCAACCCTCACCTGTAGTCACGATGAGCTCTGGATAATGACCAAAAGAACTAAATCGTAGGTACAAGTGGTTAAAATTAGTTTTCTCTGACATCTAGGAGAGACTCAGAGTAAAGCTGCTGCTCCTCCACGTTGAAAGGAGCCAGTTGAGGTAGTTTGGGCATCTGGTTAGGATGCCTTTCAGAACCCTTCCAGTGGAAGTGTTTGAGACATACCCAACTAGGAAGAGACTCCAGGGCAGACCCAGGACATGATGGAGGGATTATCTCTCGGGTGGCTTGGGAACCCCTTGAAATCCCCCAGGATGAACTGTAGGAAGTGGCCAGAGAAAAGGACATATGGGTGTCCTTAATCAGCCCTGCGACCCGGTGCCGGATAAGCGGTGGAAAATGGATGAATGGATGGATTGTTTTAAAGCAGCTAGAAAGTGAAGTTAGGTTGTTTTGCTACTGTATCTGGGTGACTGTGTGCCAGCAAACATAAATGTGTGAAAGTGTACAGAAGCTGTAGGCTGTAAGTTTTACTTTTAATGTGCAAAAACGGAAGTAAATGTTCTGCATGTGAGATGTTCATTTCCTGGCATCTCAATGTTACTGTGAGAACATTACTGTCATTACAGAGACAAATGACCTGAATATGCCATATCCATCATCATCATCATCATCATCAGTATCAGTGAAAACTCAAACGATCACAGAAATCACATTGCCTTCACATGATACAACATCATCAATAACAGGTAGATATTACTGCTCTAAAACCTCTTCATATTTTCATGTAGTTTGTCTTTCTCTCAATATGAATCTCACATTGCACATTAAAGATATTTTCTCTTGTATTTTGAGGCTCCTCAATGATCTTCATTTCTGAGGTTTCGGTTTTGCACCTAATTTGTGTTCTGATGTTTCTACTGGCCGTACGAAAGAATAAACAGTCTCACGGTGATTACATGTTCATATCTTTCATATTTTTTAATTAGTTCACACAGTGCTGAACGTTCATCAGAAGAGTTTCACATTTATCACATACAGTTGAAAGTGTCTTGAAGTGAAAGTGTTTCAGTGTCCTCTACTGGCCTTCACTAGACAGACATGAGAGATGCTGTAGGTGGTGGTGAAGCACAATAACTGTTTAAAACAGAAGCACTATAATATAAAGATGAAACTGTCAGGGGTCTGGGTCTAGTGTTTCTCCCTCTCACCACCAGAGGTCGCCATTTCCCATCCTCCCGGACTCCTTTACCTTAACTCCACACACCTGTTCACCTACTCACACACACACACAAAGCTCGGTGTCCGCTCGCATTTCCTCCAAGGTGGTGGAACTCGCCTCTGGTTCTTCCAAAGCGACAGTGCTCGTCTCTGGGGCTCACAAAGCAGCGGAGCCCACCATTGCCCGTTCCAAGGCGGCAGCTCCACACACACACCGCTGTGGTGGCCACTGGTTCTGCCCTGGGTCCCCATCACGCAGGCTCTGCCCCAGTCCCCAGGTCCCCCTCTACCACATGGACCTGGGCCGTAGTGTCATATCCCTGTTTCTGTTTTGAGCCTGTTGTCAGATTCTGATTTCTGTTTGTGTTTACATTTTGGTTTTTACTTTGTTTGCCCTTAAGTTAATAAAGACCTGCATTTGGACCCAGACCCTTTTTTACACAGTGTTTTCCCTTACACTGTGTTTTTCCGTGAAAGAAACTTGAACTCTGACTTGACTTATCCTGAGATGGGAAACTCTGAGTTTTTGGGTTAAGAACAGGGGGTATTCCAGAAAGCAGGTTATGTGACATACCCAGGTATGTTTAAGGGTAAGTAAGTGGATAAACTCAGCTTTCGGTTCCAAAAACGGAGGTAACTCTAAGTAGCCATATCAACTTATTCCCTGAACAAAACCTGCTCCGGAGTAGATTATGTTTCAGTGTTAGTTTACTTCAGAGCTATCAGCACATGCGTGGCCTTATAATATTATATATGATTACAATATAGTTATCAAATATGCCATATATACAGTGGGTACGGAAAGTATTCAGACCCCCTTAAATTTTTCACTCTTTGTTATATTGCAGCCATTTGCTAAAATCATTTGAGTTAATTGTTTTTCCTCATTAATGTACACACAGCACCCCATATTGACAGAAAAACACAGAATTGTTGACATTTTTGCAGATTTATTAAAAAAGAAAAACTGAAATATCACATGGTCCTAAGTATTCAGACCCTTTGCTCAGTATTTAGTAGAAGCACCCTTTTGATCTAATACAGCCATGAGTCTTTTTGGGAAAGATGCAACAAGTTTTTCACACCTGGATTTGGGGTATTTAGTCTTTTAAGTGTATTTTTCTTATTTTGCTAATTATCTGCCAGTGGGGTAAGAAAAATAATCGTGTTTCCATTTGCATTAATATTATTGTTCTTGTTTTAAGTAAAATGCACTTAATTTAGATTCCAAAATACTCACTAAGAAATGCATTTTTGCAGCGTGAATGAATGAATGAATGAATGAGGTATTTAAACATCACTTACACTTTAAAAAGGGGAGGAGACCAAAAGAAACTTTAACAAAGAAAACCCGCTCCCAACCAGGGGTGCGTTTCCCAAAAGCATCGTTAGCTAACTATGGTAGTTAGTTCCATTGAAATTGACTGGTAACGACGGAACTTGCGACCATAGTTGCTTTTGGGAAACGCACCCCAGGTTAGGTTCACAGAGTAAGTTACCATGGTAACTGACTCTGAGTTTAAGTTACCTCTCTTTCAGAAACGGGCTTGACTTACCCTGCTTTCTCGGGTTTGACAAACCTTACATTCTGAAACGGAAAACCCAGAATTCCCCTAATTTCAGGGTTAACATACTCAAGAGTTTTCACTTAACCTCCTTTCTGAACTGGGCCTCAGATGTATGAATTATGTTAGTTGTATGTGTTATATTTTGTACTATATCTTGCATGTTTAGCATTTTCATCCTGTTTTGTTGTTTTAATTTATTTAAATGATTTTTATTTTGAAGCTGCGTTAAGTTTACCGAGGCCCTCCAGACTGTTTACATGTAAATTATACTGGCGCCCTCTAGTGGAAGATTTAAAATAATGCAATCAAATTGATTTTGTGTCATTTGTCCTTAAAGGTACAATATGCAATTTTCACCGCTAGAGGGTGTGTATTCAAAATAAACAAATAGACAAAGGCGTAGTTTGATGACACCGTGACTGAGTGTGGAATCATGAGAGATGTGGTCTTCATCCCCACAGCTGATGCAATCCGACGGGATTCGGGCAGAAATCATGTTCATGGATGAGCTAATGATTTATTAACGTAGTAGAATGAAGCAGGGTGAGGCTGAAAGCCATGGAAGCGAAACGAGGTGCTGAACGAGCGTGACACATGGCTCGAAAGCAGCGGAGCTTTTATTATGCCACAGTCGAGCGCTTCCGGTCCATCCGGTCGTGCGTATATGTGGGGTAAAGCAGCACTGTTTTATCATACTACATACATTTGAACGTTCTTTTATAATGCTACTTTGTGCGGTCCTCATCGGTCTATTAAAACGCGCAACTTATTAAAGCATCTTTGGTGTTTCCATGTTTTCTACAAAACAAAACCGGAAATCGAGGGGTTATGACGTCATTAGCAGGCGACACAATGACACTATAGAC